CTCTCTCTCTCTCTCTCGCCAGTTTGGTTTGGGCGCGTGCCAGTGTGTGTTGAATCGAAACGATTCGAATGCAAAATAATAATAAAACAGTGGGGCTCGTTGAAGGTGGGTACGGTGGGCGTCGGGGGTGGGAGAGTGGGTAGACGACAGAGAGGCGGAGTCGGCAGCGCATTAACGCAATTAACCTCCAATTAATAACACATCAATTGACACCCGGTCAACTTGTTGCATCAGAGCAGGCCGATAATATGCTGAACGCGTGTGAACCGTGTGTGTACGTACACGATGGGCGCCGCCGTGTGCGGTGTGCGCCGCCAACGCGTGTGAATACCCCGACGTACGTTTTGCTTGCGCGCGTGTGCGCGTGTCTACGCGTTTGCTGCGCTTAGGCAAGACACACGGACGTGGTCGTGTTTGTGCGGCTGCGGATGCGTGTTACGGCTACGAAGTACGTCTATCCCCCCCTATACTATATATCGTCGTAGGCGTAATGACGAAACGAATGTTACAATAATTTTATATATCGGGGAGGGTGAAGTCGGTACGTGCCTAAGCGTCGTGCGTGCCTATATGCACGATGGACATGGACTGATGACCACAGTCGAGTTCCCATGCAACCCCCTGCGAACACTCTCACCACATGACACCTACAGGGGGTGGAATTCCGATGCACATGCCACTGCTGTGTTACCTCAACAACGCCATGTGGGGTACGTACACCATGTGATGCTCACGTAGGAACTATCTTCCTTCATTTCTTCGGCTGTTTCACAAGGGGAAACTAAAAATTGTGACATACACGAGAATATAGCGGAATATAAGCTCCAACGTTCATAAAATTTGCTCGCAGAAGCTGCATCGTTCTTGAATTGATATTCGACTTGCGATTTTTCATACGTCGTCATCTACTTAAAAAACCGATTACTTGTTGTAATAATAATATTACCTTGAAGTTTCATCGAGGGTTCCCCATGCGTTAACTATCCTACGTATTACTTGCGGACCCTATCACTATATGCACTATAATCACGCTTTAAAATCTACCCACCTGCTTAAATGGTAAATATCGTATGACGTGCAGGAAATGGTCATTGGTGACTTACCGATGTGTGTTTTTCTTGTACTTTAATAGTCGCTGATTCTATGACATGTTGAACACTCGAAGATGACTTTATATATGTTTAATGTATGTAATTAACTTCCGTAATTTATTTATGAATTGTTCTTTGGACGGTGGAACATTTTTTTCGTACACTCTATTCTCTCAGTGTGAGAAAACAATTAACATTTAAAAATGAGAAATAAAGACAAGTATTGTTACGCATGTTTTAAATTTAAATTTGTGAGTATATATCTCTGTCGAAAAAATCGGTCATCAGATACTAATAGCAGTAAGACCATGTGCATTACCCCGCGCTTACCTTGGTGGACGCACTCCTCGCGTGTAATTAGTTCGTCGCGTCTACTTCCGAATCGACGCAACAGTGGGAGAGTTCCTGAAGCCATTTCCGGCAGGGCACCGGCACCTTTTTGTTTTCCCCTTCTCGTCCCACGCATGACGGCACACGGGGAAGTACCGATCAAAAACGGGAAAGACAGAAGTTCGTCTGACCCCCCTCGAAGCGTCCCTTCCTATCCAGGTACAATCGTCGTCCCGTAGACCTTATCGAGGTCGACACCATATGTCACTTCTGGAGTAACGAGTAGCAAGCGCTGCACCCCTCTAAAGTAATTGCCAACGGAACTGCCTAGTAATTTCTCGGAACGAATCGCTCCTCTTCGAGGAAGCGGCCGAGAACGCGCTAACTTGGTGTAATTGAACGTTTACGTAATAGTGATTCAAGTGCGCAATGAGGACGTCGATGGTACTTCAGATATTTGCTCGTATTTCAATAATCTGTCTTCCTGTTACGCAATTTACAGTTCTTCGGCCTTCAAGAAAGAAAAATGTGTTATGTTTGTGATGAATACCGTAACTTTATTCAATATGTTTTATTCCTAACGTCATATATTATATTATATAAATACTGTATTATATATATA